TTCCCAGCTTCAATCAGTAAGTGATAAAGCGTTTTATTTGACTAATCCTTATAGTTGGCTGGAATTTTATCCCAAAGTTGATCACCAGTAAGCATGCAATAGTTCATTTAGGTGGTTTGTGGAAATCAGTTTAAAAGTGCATACACTAATTGTATCTTTTCTTCTTGTTTATCAATGAACAAACAGTTTTTTTCCTATAACTATCAAGAATCGAACAAATTATCACATTTTTGAACATGATGTAACAGATAGGTTGGATTTCATCACTAATAATAATATTATATGATTGTATGCGGTTCCCTTCACGAGATTAAATGCATTATACAATCTTCGATACAGTACAGTTTCAAAAGCTGGCAATAGATACAAGTTAATGCCAAATAAAAAGTAAATTAGAAAAAATCTTGTTTAACTAAATTATTTAATCTACTTTTTATGGCAAAGATATGACATCCCAAAATCTCGAAATGCATATTACATTATGATTATGACACCTTTTCATATCAAACATTACATATCACTCCTTTCTTACTAGAGACATTTCTAAGCTATTACTATTACGATGTTTATCCCGTCAATAATCTTGTACATTAAAGTGATATCACTCCTGACTATTCATTTTGTATGCTTCTTATGCTTTAAAATATAAAGACTTTGTCACATATGTTGAATTAAGAATAATTTACTCGTTAAACTGTAATAGTTTGTTATAGATGAGAACGTTTACGTGTTATTTATCACAAGAAATATTAAGACAGAAATGGTGATACTTATTACGAGGAAATCTAAAACTCAATACGATTTAGAATTTTTAAAAATCATTAAAAATCATCGAAATAATCTAAACGATTGAATTCAGTAAACATATTGGGTTTTGCAAATTTACAAGTTTTTATCACTTCATCAATAGTAATAACAAGGAAATCACTTTATTAATTAAAGAACATTATGTAGAGAAACCATAACTTTTTTAAATGAACTGGATTATTAAAAAGTTAACAATGAAGCAATGAGAAGTGATTCAAATCACGTGATTCGACTGTATCCAGATTTCTTGAGATGTTATAGTGACAGCATAAATTAATTCACTTTTCTTGAAAGCTATCTAGCTTTCAATCAACACTTGATATTATAACTTAGTATGGTAAGTGTCAGGAATTTCGATGAAATCTTAAATTTGTTAAACTTCTCTTAGGAACGATTGATTAAACATTTTGATAGTAATTTGTATCTATTCATAAAGAGAGTTACTTTCTGATCCAAATATGGTCGTTATGGTTTTTATACAGTTTGTAGATGTAATTCATCATGTATTGGTTGTTTGAATCTTCCCATTTATGTTTAGGGCTGTCATTGATCAGTCACTTTGTGACATAAGTACATCTTGTGAGGATTGCCTCGATATTGCCTCAAATCATGAACATACACCTCTGCTTATAAATTTTAGATTATTTCTATCAGTTTTATGAATGTCAGCGGCATAGATAAAACAGTCATTATTCTCTACCATGTGATGCTTTTAAAGACTGTTAGATTTAAGGGGAAAATTATGAACTGGTTCTAGCTAAACAACTATTGAAATTTGGAGTGCAATGAACAAATTATTTGCCAATGTCACTATGATTACGTTACTTAAGCTGAATAAGAATTTCCGGAACAAATGAATAAAACATTAAAAAAGAAGAGTGTATTTGTTAAATCTCAGCGAAAGAATTTGATAATTTTGTTGTTTGATTATATTTTCCTTGAAAAAGCTTGGACCAGATTGTCAGGCGAAACGTTGGATTTATTTCAAATTCTTTCGCTGAAATTTTACAAATACATTTTTCCTCTTTAATGGCTCACATTAACTCGGCGCCCAAATATTGTAAAACTATTCGTTCAAATTTAGACGAAAGTTCTTATTCCAGTGAATAAAAGATGAACCTACATAAATATTGTTCAATATAGTACCCGTCTACGCACGATTAAAACTGCTCGCTTACAAGCTTTCAGCTGCTGTAAACAAATGTCTCACAAGACCTCTTAGTTGATTGAATTCCAGTAGTTGAACATATTCTACAGGTTTACTTGCTAAAATAATTATCAAGCAAACTGTATACTAATCATATACACTGTATTCATGACATTATTCTTAGAGTACATTTGCACTGCATAAAGCTTTGAATGATTTTGAATAGAGCTAAATAATGAGAACAGTGACCAAAAATGATGTATGAAAGTGTAGGCGTTTAAATAAAATTATAGAAGAATTGGTGCATATCTCAACATCTATATATATATATATATATATATATGCAAATCAAAAGTGACAACTGATTTTCAAAACTCAAAGATTATTCCGTTAATAAGAATATCTACCAGCATTTTTAAAAATAATTATCAATGAATATAACTTCTATATGTTAATATCGTTTTGGTATATTTCTACAGATGGAGTGGTTATGACGTGGAAACACTTGTAGCCTCTAAACTCGGATAAAAAATCTATTCGTTGATGAAATACTCCGATGGGCGACAAGAAAAAAATATAATTGCAACATATTACGAAGCGAACGTATTACAGAAAAATACGTCTACACGTATACAAAAAACACATTTTCATCACTTTTATATTGAACAACGTGACAGGACTGATATACATAATATTCGTGTTTAATCCCTCTTTGAAACAATGAAATCGATGAGTGATACAACGTATCAGTCAGCATTCAGAACCAAATTTGGGAATAATACATCGCTGCATCTCTGTACATACATACTTATCTATTTTATTTTTAGAATCATAGAAGGTAAATGCATAGAATTTAAAATGTGTTCTTTATAAATGCGAGGTATCTGTGTTAAAGGTGTTAGATTATATGATTGAGAAATTTGTACTGTTTCACAAATTCACTAAATACCTGTTTTCAATGTAATATGAACCTACTGTGTATTTTATAGCTTTTGTCATATAAAATGCAAAATCATGACGTGACAGACTGACTTTTAGATATGCTTATTTATTTATCAGTCAGACATATTTATTTTCTATTTAGCGCTATGGAAATAACTTTAAAACAACAAGCTTCAATTCTAAGCTTCTATGTTTTCTACAATCATAAATACATTTTAGTTAAGTGGCCACTAGTTAAGTAGAGACAAGATTATATATGTAAATCTCCGAAACAAAAACATTAAATATGTTTTATTGATACAGTTCAATATTGAAAAGTTAAATTTAAATGAATAACTACAACAGACAAATAAACAACAATGATATCACATGCACCACTTAAATAAAGAAGTTAAAATCAAATTATTAATTGAAAACATCATATGAACAAAATCTTACTGCATATTTCTCTAAATAAACATCAAAAACTAGCTTCAAACTGTTCATACAATAAAAGTGAATTTAAGACTAACTCATTTATTCGACTGCAAGTAAAGCTAAATAGAACTGTTTATGTAATGCAATTCTATGCAAGTACCGAATTCCATATTCACGATAATGCAATCGTATAATCTTGAATATTGCCTCATATAGTTCCAAAGCTATGGTTTTCTATACCATATTACTGTTTCAAAAGTATTTAAAATAGTTTTTAAGTCCTTTGTTTGTGATCAACCTTATGTCAGTTGGATGCGTCCAGTAAGGACCGGCGTCAGAAAAGGCTGCTCAATCCCTCAATTCCTCTCTCTTCTGGTAGTTGAATGAATTATGAAGACCTCCAAATCTTAGAAGAAGCATGGGATACAATAGACAGCTTGGATGTAGCCAGACTCTTTGGACGAAAGAACACACAGAGTCTAAACTTGGAAGCAGAAATCAAAAGGATGGATAGCAACTGGAAACAACTGGAAAAAATTGTCGAAGACAGAGTTCGTTGGAAAATGGTGGTGGGCAACTTATAATCCACCACGAAGGGTAACAGGCGTAAATCAGTATATAAGTAGTTGGATGAGTAAAAAATATATGGTTCTACATTCAACAAACAATTTGATGTGGTATCGTATCAAATAAGACAAATTGTTTCTTACTAAATAACAATAAAAGTAAAAATAATTTTACTCCTAAAACATCTGGTTGAATGATTGACAAAATATAATTACCAGTATGTGAAACCATGATCAAACGTTCAGCAACAGATAAATTTTGAATCAAGTAACAGGAATCAAAAGAAACTTGTTTTAGATTAATACTACAGAAAATTCTGATAAAGAAACGGTTTACTGAAGTAATTTGTGAACGGCTGACGCTTTTACTTTATTGTTTGAATCAATGATACCTCAGAAAATTTATACGGATTGTATAACAAGTTTGAAGTTAATATGCTGACAATTTAAGTAAAACAATCACGTAGAATGTCGACGCATTTCATTCTTTTAAGGTTTGATGATTGCTAGGGAGGCCATTTTGTAAAACTTCTGCTTTTAATACATTCTGTTGAAGTTTAGTTCAAGATTTCTGCCTTACTGTCTTTTTTTGCTTTTTACTCATTACAACGCTGACTTGTGCTAAAATTCAACCTGCAGACCATGTATGCTAAAAATGATCAAATAAACAGTATGTAATTAGCCTTTTATTTGATAAATAGCTAAATGAATGAGTTATTCAACCTTAAATATATAGTTTTAAAGAAGCAGTACTGTGATTTGTACAAAACTTCATCGATAAATATAATCTGTCATTCAGTTGATGGTACATACTGAGAGTAGGCGTGATAATATTGAACAAGGATTCATTTAAATAAACTATGTGATGTAAGAATTTCAATTTTATTCATTATTTCTTTTTCCTACTTATGGACATTGTGTAACCAGTTGAAATTTCATGTCATTTTGATTAAAATTTACATTTTTACGAATTTAATTATTACATATTGTTACTGATTAGGATAATTGTAACTATTAGTATAAGTGACAGTCAGACTATAACTATAAAAAAGTAGAATAAACAACAAGGTAAACATATTTAAAGTCATAAAACATCATGAAACTTCAACATGATAACCTACCCCGAGTAGATTTCTACTCAGATCTAGATATTTCAGATGAGAACTATAACGTAACAGTGGCACTAAAAATTTAGCATCAGATCCAGTAATTCCATTATCGGGTAATCGAAGATCAGTAATACAACCCAAGCGAATTCCCGGAATTAGTATATGTAATAATTGCCCATTAATACCTGTACTACCAAAATGTAACCCACGTGAATGAAAAGGCAGTGTTTTTGATGAGCTTAAATTTGATTCTGTAATCGATACATTCTTAGAAGTTCTGAAAGTATCCTTATCAGATAATTTCTCAGAGAGACGATTACAATTTTTATCAAAACTTTCTTTTTTAAACTCTTTTGGTTTAAAGTCTTTTCGTGGTATACGAAGAGATGATGATAATATTTGTACAAAAGTTAAACCCAAGTTGTTTTCTCTTAAATCAAGCCATTCCATATACGGCACCTAAGAAATACATGAAAAAAATACAATAAAAGAAATAAATTAAACATTAACTGTCGGTGAGTTCTAATTTGTTTGAAATAACAAATTTTATCTCAAAAATGTTCATAAAATATATTTATTTTGAGTTACAGAATTCACTGTTAGAAATTTAACCGGTTTTTAAAATATTGAAATTCCTCAAATCATGCATTATCGTGACTACATATACAACTGTTCACTCCAATCTGAATAAAACGTTTCGTATGGTCACTGTAAAAACCATCCAGCATCTTTCAAATGAATACTTCAGAGTAATAGAAGAATTTTCAACGTAGATTTATAAAATCAGTAAATAAGGTTTAAACGAACTTAGTTTATAATCAAACTAAGGTTGATAGATAGGGAATAAATCTACCAATCTGTATTAGTGATAGCTAATTTAAGCAGATTTTAATGGTCAAACTATGTGTCCAACAGTGTCAAAAAATTCAATCAGAGACTATCATGATGTTTCTTAACGGTTGGCCCTAACTTATTAATCATTGTGACCTAAAACAAATTGGTACTAAATGGTCAATCTCATTTTCATATTTTCGCTATGACACTTAGATATAACGTGAAATAAAATGTTTTGAAACATGTTTTAATAAAATAAGAATAGGTGAAATGCTCAGGCAATCAATAAACTAATAACTAAATGAAAAATATCTAGGATTTTACGTTTTATTTGTAGAATATGTATTTAACGAACTTCTTAAAAGGATTTATTTATACAAAAGCACTGAAGATAATTCGGTTGCCGAAAAATTGCCCATTCCTCTAAATACATGCATGATATACCTTATACATAAATAATTTGATAGAATTCATAAAAGTTAAATCTGTGAATATGTAATCATCAAGGAACTATTCTAGTGTACTAGTAGATGACAAAAACTAATCGAAAAATAATAAAATTCTATGAAATAACGCAATGAGAAACAGGAGGAGAAAACTTGAGCAAAATGGTTTCTACATTCGGTTTTGAAATGACGCAGATTAATTAAATATAAAATTACGGTAAATTAGAAGCATGAGTGGTTTATCTCTAACTTTTTGTTCATCAAGAAACCGCCAAATTTTAAGATATAAACATTCATGAAACACTTGTTGATCAATATTAAATCTACTGACAACCAATTTTTAGATTTCGTCATCGATTTAATGTAACAATAAATTAGTAAATAGGGAATAATAACAATAAACAGAATGTTATATTTTTTAACAGGATTAAGAAATAATGACTGGGGGATTTAGTAGTAGTCTTTTGTTAAATGGAATGATGAACTCCCTGACAAAACCCATTTTAATGTCCCGATATCTGACATCAATTAGATTGCATGGTGATCGCTATTGAAATATACATACCGTCCATCCTCGTATACAATTATCGACCTAAATCGCATCAGTGAATAACGGAATTAAATGAGTGCAATATGAGAATGGATTTTTGAATGCGTATGTTTTTTACACTGATTAATTTGAACAGACGATCAGAGGAATGAAGTTAAGAGAAGAGAGCGAAGCGAAATGACGTTCATTAGAGATGGCGTGTGAGTCAACTTCATTTAATCAGGAGTTTATAGCCAAATCAAATAAGTTACAGACATGTTACGAATATAATATGAAGTGTACACACATATCCGCTCATATAAAAAGTTAGGGTTGATAAGTGAATAATTAACAAGGTCAAAGCGTGACTTAAGAAGAATAGATATATTAGTCTCTCCAGAAGCCAGAACAAGTTATATGGGCTTAACATAGTAATCGACATTACAACATGTCCACTTACTTCTCGAAATAGAAAAGCGACGGGGATCCAGCCGGTAGACGTAACATTAGGGTTTCGAGCCAAACACAATCCTGTACATGTTTCATAATAACTCAAAATTTCATATAATGATTCAACAGACTAAAAATGAGTCCAAGAAATAAAATAAACATAAATCCGTTGTTACTTATAGGGATCTTTTAGCAGAACCTACATAATATTTATTAAGACTCATATGTTTTCAGGTTAAAAATTTTGGAATTATCTATGGAACAGAAATAGACAATAGTAAGCTATTATGTTGTGTCTTTATATTTTAGTATTCCAGTTGATAGATATTTAGATTTTATTGATTGACTTACCAATGAATAATAATACTCTACCTAGCAGATTTTCTTTCAGCATTAATCTAATCATGAAATTTCTAAAACTATGCTTGGATTTAATGATTTCTTATCCAAAGGAACTTTAAACAAACAAATAGAGTGACCGTGAGATCTCATGTAACGTCCATTTTTGTCGATTTACTCATATCTCATAGTAGGTTGCTTGATTTTTCCTGTACCATCAGGCTATGTATCTTGGGCAACTATGCAGATACCCCATTTTCCATCGATAAAAAGACTTTCCTTTAAAAACTGTCCTGAAATGATAAACACTTTTTCAAATCACAGCAAATTTACTTCCAAAAAGGAAGATGAACCCAGTGAACTACCATTCTTGAACCGTCTAGTTAAGAGCAACCATAATGGAAATCTTAATTCAGCCATATACCGAGAACCGATCCATTCAAATCGGTATATCGATTTCAGTTCTCCACACTTGCTCAACGCAAAACTATCCTTGACCCTGAGTTTATTTAGATGAACTTTCAAGACCATTGCCCCAGAAGTGATAACATAATAAACTTTTTGCAACTTACTAATTTTATCGTGAATATTCTTATGAATATTCTAGAATACAACGGTTCATCTAGAAGTACCAGTTCTAATGAAATATACTGTATTGGTACCCTAGTTTTTCCTAACCACCACGATATACAAAATCAAGGCCTTCTATAAAACAGTCAACACTCTTCGAAGTACTTTAGTTCAGACTCAAGAAAAGATCCTGTTGACATCTACACAGTACTGTGTCTACAGATTGTGTCGATTGCCTTGCATTCCATGTTAGAAGGCCTTCTTATAAAATCTCGACTTGGGCCAAAGAACACTTAAGCTATACAAAAAGACCTATTACTTTTGTAGAACTGAAAAATCTACAAATCAAATTCTCATTAGCAGTACTTGTTATACTTAGTGACCACCAAACCGATATCAATAATATCAAAATAATTCAGAAAGGTTTTTCCAACAATAAAGAAAGGCGAGTGGTTAAAGCGTTTCACATAATGCTAATTTCCTCAACAGAAAAGAAGTCCTGACTATTTATCCAGCTTGAACTGTCTATCAAAACGACCACATGTAACTATGTTCGTTTTTTGGACAATTCACACACACATACACATTCAGATTCCGGCTCATTTGTATGTATTGATTAGTTGAATCTTCCCACTGATGTTTCGGACCATTTCATAATTCAAGCTTCACGTTTTTCACAGCCACACAAATAATGGTGTATCATACAGAAACAGTTCGACCGAAAATTTACATGACGGTGACATGATTAGACCTATTTTTACTTTGATTTTGATCGAACTAAATATCTTTTCTTTTTCCTTCGTGCTACTTAGACGTTTGTTAGTTTACTTCAGTAATTTATTTATTTACTCTGAATATATGATCATTGGGATATCAAAAATCTATCATTGTTTTATTACCTTTGATTTCAGTTTCGAGAAAAGGCGACTCCTTAATCAATATCTAAATGCATTACGCTAAAAAAGAATTCATTCTAATTTTATCTTACTTGTTTCTTTTGTTTATGCTTTATTTTAGAAAGTATTGTTTATTTCGTCGGGTCCTTCATTTATTTCCATTTCACAAAATGTCGCTTAATATGGTATATGAGCTCGCGAACCAGCAGAATATTACTTAAACCAGCATTTACAATTCAAAAACTGATAGAGTGAAATAAAAGCTGACTTTTAAATCTTGTAGCTATTACCCTGTAGTCCACTTCCTCTTTCCTAACCATAAAAAACTCAAAGTATATCCGAGTTTATAACATGGGATTACTTACAACATTGCTCATGCTGTCTTAACCAAAATAAAAATAGCCCACAAGAGTAATAGTCCTGATGTCACTTTAAAATGGTCCGGTTTCATCTTAAATAAATGTTTGCCTTGTATTCTATTTCCTTGCATTATATTATTTACATATACATGCTTTCTATACCATCTTTTTGCAATCAAATTTCAGGTGGTATATTTGAGTGATGAAATATAGTTATATCAAAACACCAGTAGAATCCTTACCTCGTCATCAAGATTGGTGTTTTCCAAATTTACGTATTGAAATTGGACGTATTTGAAAACATATTCCAGCATATCAATATGTCCACCATTAAGTTGACAACCTAAAATGATAATCAATAGCATAATCTCTTACCTTTAAGATTAAAAACGTGTTTCCGTTCTAGAGACTGTCTCAAATCTATAGACTACAAACAAGTGATTTTCCTCAACTACTTACTTGTAACTGTGAAATGACACTATACAAAGGTTGGATCGAAGAGAGATTACATTGAAATTTATAAACACTGATTAACTCAGCAGGTGATAAGCACTGTCCTTCAGCCAAAATTTATAAAGTTAACTGACTTACTGTTTAACCAAGGATCAACTGGATCTATCACACACGTAACAAGATTACATTCCCCAGGAAATTTTACAGACTTTTTACTGACACATTTTGGTATCATGGAATTCGTTCTTTCGTTATTACCACCCTGTTCCTCTACAGGAGCGGAACAAACAGATTTGGAACCTGTATTCATAGGAACACAAAGTTTATTTATGTAATGTGAAATAATACAAATCGTAAAATGATTTTTAAAAAATATTAACCAGGATTTATGCGGTGTAGTTTATATGATATGTAATATTTATGATGCCGTACCAAAAAATATCCTGACTCATTTCAAAGATATTAGTAGGAAGATTATAACTCAAAGAGTGATGATACAACAAAATTATCCATAGCCTGAACCAGAGAACATTTGGCGTCATGTCATTGTCTTGCTGCAGTCAGGAATTGTATACTTTACTGATAGTGAATACGTGGACTTTGTACAGTATTGAGTAATTAGGACAAATAATATGATTACACATAACATTCATATATATTGGTTGTTTGGATCGTCACACTGATGTTTAGGATTTGAATTGATCAGTCTTTTTAAGCGTCTGTGCATTCTGTTCGTGTTACCTTGATATTTCTCTTAAGTGACGCACGTCTTAAACAGAGACGAATGATGGTCAGCACTAAAATCTACCATGCTCATCAGATGGGTGAACCTATACCCCGGCGTTGATGTTCACTCCGAAACGCGAACGCAGTACCTTTGGCTTCAAATTCCGCATTGTCCACTAAGCGTCCGAGTTTATATAATAACTGTCTTGCTCAGTGGTGCAGTCAATCGATGGGAAGATCCAGACAAATAATATACATAAATTAAAATTCACCCTTATATACTTTAGGCTAAAATATGCATGAAATCGATGGCAGAAACTACGGGCATTCATATACGAGTAGCATATACTAGATTAATTTACAAGAACAACTAAACATCACTTTATGCCTTAATTTTATCAAGTGACATAATCTTCAATGACTGGATACTGAGTGAGGTTTACATAAGTGAATACAACAAGACCAACACTGTCCTTCTTACATTGAGACGCACAGTCTTGCGTTGTCTGATGGAGGATTCAAACCATAACCCAATGAGTGCTGGTCGTCCGCTATAAAAACTGTTGTGTCGAACGGATACTAATACTCAAAAAGTCAAAGAATTAGATAAACTGTGCTATACATTTTTGTTTCTCTTTAAAATGACTCGAAATGCAACGTTGAATAGAATATTTATTCAAACTTTCTGGCTCTCCAATTAGTTTTTCAGAAACATATCTTTTATTTTACTACCTATTTCTAATGAGTTGAGTTACCACAATATAGAGGAAACAAAATAAACTACGTGCATTTTTTAAAATAACTGAATAGGTGGATCAAATATGTGAAATTAATTGTGAACACTTATTAGGTGAAGGGATGCAAATACACGACAAAAATTTAATTTGCCAATTCACTATCCGTGATTCATTTGCAGAGTATGAACCTCATCCAGAATTAACCTGAAAGACTAGATTCAATGTATTTTATTCAGATTGAGTCAGAAATATAGATACAGACAATTTATAGTAAGATGATATGGAGTGACCATAATAAGCCAATATTTTGGCTGGTTATTTTACCAGAATAGTTACTTGCAGTTCTTCATAGTGATATATAATATATATATGTTGAATCTCTTCTACCGTACTATTTTTAGGGCAGTTAGAGCAAAAGTCGAAAGTAAATGGATGAGAAGATATACTCGGATCACCAAGTTACTGGAGATGTACTTGGGGTTATGCTGAACCATGATGGACAATTTCCTAATCAACAATCTCAAATAAAAGAAGGGGGAAATAAACCACGCTTAACTCAGTGACACTTACTTTTCGTTCGATGACTACATATAAGCATCACGTTATTATCGGATAAGCAATATTTCACATTATAGAAATTTATCTTTAGAAGAATCAGACATGATCTATTGCAACAAAACGTCGATACAGATAAAAATAACCCATGATATGCTAGTAAGTGACTTGAAAGAATATAATAATCGCTCAAAACAAAATTTTTATAAAGTACAGACGACAATTACCAATTTACAAACTACAAAAATTATGAAGGGATACGAAATTATACTCCGTTGTATTCCTGTTATTTTTACTTCAACAACAAGAATATTATGAAACACGTTTAAGTGGTGGTCGAACGAGAATGTTTTTTGTGAAATTCAAACTTACTATGCTAAATATTTGGAAATTTATATTTATGACAAACTGAAGAATTATTATGCCGACCTTTGCGAAAACTTTAATTATAAAATGTTTTCGCTAGCATAAAAAACTGCCGTTACGTATTTTATTCATGTTGAACAAATAAACGTACGGTTATAGTACCCTTTCCTAATCATAACGATAATGCAAAAACTATTTGAAAAGCTCTCGACTTGACTTTGCTTTGCATTTGGTGCGATAAAACGAATAACAGAAGCAATAGGAAAATAAAGTAAGAATAATAATTCATCCCAGAGACTTCTAATTTTTACTACGAATGACGGCTTTTGTTTAACTTGCATTAGTTTTATCAAAGTGACTTATTCTCGGGTTGTAATCAGGCAATATTAATTTTATTTTTCAAATGGCCGTGGACGGGATAGTAGAGGATATGGCTTGTTGTTATGAATGATTCCTTGGAAAAAGCAGGCCCATGAATCTTAAACATTGATTCTGAACTTAATTTACTTGCCTGGACATACCCTTGTTCTTGTCACTCGGTCATGTAACCACACAAGACCATTCTGTAGCTATAAATAAATTTCTTCGGCATTTGATGCTAACCTCATTAGTTTTAATGGGCTCACCTTGCTGTAGGTGCTCGGTCATGCATCAACATCAGATCACGAGTGAGTACGTCATGCTTCACCTCTCCCACAACCGCTAGCCAGCCTAATTTAGTTACTTCTCGATATATCGATCTTCCATCAAATATATATTCGAAACTATTGGCTTCTGACGTCTAGACCAACTGGGCTGGCACGTTTCGATTATATAAGGTGTTAGTGGTTAAGGTGTTGTTAAACTCCGAGTACTTGTGACATCTTCAATGTGTTAGTACGTCGTGGTAAGCGTCTCTCGCAACTGCGAAGCAGCCTAAATCAAACGGTTTTCAGGGTGCCAACTGACTTCTTAACATATTTCCTAAAGTTTCGAAAGAACCTGAGGGACAGTTGTTGAGTCTAACTACCTTGGGTTTCTGGAAGCTTACGTAGGAAATGTGTTCACCCCTTCACGATTTTTTGGAAAGTCCAAAGAAGTTTAACGAGACAAACCGTCTGCAACTATATTTTTTGCCTTAAAAATGTCTTGTACATCTAAAGTTAACTGCGAAATACAGTCCAATTGTTGGGACTGTCTAGGGGAATACTTGTCTGTAAATTAGCTTAAAGAGAAGGCAAGAGGTTTGTGATCAGTGAAAAGAGTGAATTTTCGACCCTCCACAGAGTGTCGAAAGTGTCATGCAATACAACACATGGCTAGGAGTTCCCTACCGAAAGTGCTATACCTCTATTCAGAGACTAGCAACCAAGAGTCCTAAAGGCTGTTAGGTGTTGTTTACCCATTGTTGTACGACTCTCCGGATTGCCGAGTCAGAAGCGTCCACTGCGATACCTACGGGTGCTTGGGTTTCCTAGTGTGCAAGTGAGGTTGCTTTGGAGACAATTCCCGTAATTGTGGGGAATGCTTTTTTCCTGATGTCGTCCGAATTGATGATTTTCTTATTTCCACGAAGTTGAGCCGCTAAAGTTCTGATATGGGACGCGCAGTTTGGTAAGAACCATCTATAGGAAACTACCAGGCCGTTGAATAGACTTATTTGCTGTTTGTGATCGGTTCTGGGTAATCCAGAATGGCTGCAACTTCGCTTTTTAGAAGTCGGATGACTTGAGCATCATTAGTGTGTCCGAGGAAATATAGGGAGTCAGTGTGGATTAGACGTTTCTGAATGTTTACACTATTGCCGTGACTTTGTATTTGTCTGACGACAAGGTCCAGATGTTGGAGATGAGATTCTCTGTCCGGACACGCAATCAAGCAGTCATCAACATACACATGTACGAAGTTGAGACCTCGAAAAGCGTCATCTATGAACCTTTGAAATGTCGGAGCAGCATTTCTTAAGCCGAAAGGCATTCGCAAAAATTCGTACAGGCCGAAAAGAGTTATGATTGTGTTTTTTGGAATGTCGTCAGTGGTCATAGGGATTTGGTTATAATCTTCAATCAAGTCTCTCTCCGAAAAGACAGTTTTCCCTTCAAGGTAGCTGACAAATCGTGAAAGTATGGCAACGGGGGACGATCGGGAATCATCACCAGTTGGACGCCAGTCGCTGCTGTCCTTTTTAGAGACCATGTGCAACGGAGATGCCCATGGGCTGTTTGACGGTCGAATGATGTGATCGAATTTGTTTCTGCCCAACCTCAACGTTTTGGGAGCTAGTGGTGGTCCTGTTGTCGTGATGTTATGTGTAACATGGCGGGTTACACATGGATCGATCATGTGCATCAATGTGACTGTATGAAGAACATTGACTTCTGCTCCAGTTTCCATGAGATAGCGAACATTCGTCAACACATCAGTGATGTATACCAGATGTCTGACTTCGTCGGATACGGTTTCCTTTTACGCGTGCTGTCAAGTAAGTTTCCCAAAAGGTTTCGTTTCAGACAGTTCGCAGATTGAATAACTGCATGGTTATCTGCAATTTTGACGAGATTTTATATATTTATTTTGATTCCAGAATCAATGAGGTTTTCCTGCCACTCGTGGCATAGAGAGAAATCTTTGTCGTGACGGACTTCTTCAGGGAGTCAGACAGCGTCTGTAAATATGCTGGATAGTAAGATGACGATTAAGAAGTACGCTACATCATTTCGCGTTGCTTGTGACATTTCTTTGACAGAATAAACCTCGACGTCAGGGGTTATGGTGATCTTCAGAGTCTGGTCAGCAGATGCATTCGTCTCATCTACAACGCTATTTCGAAACGAGAGAATGAAGCTTTGATATGGAGTGCTGCCTAAACAGGCCATCGTCAAAAGTCAATTTATCAATGACCTTTCTCATTCGTTGCAACATTTCTGTAGCTGAGCCATGTTGTAGATCGATGATGTCGAGGAATTGACCTAACATTTGTCGATCGGTTAGAACCACACGCTCAAGAATATCCATTTTTAGAGTCTTGTGAGTTTCCGAAACACCACTAGTAGAAGTATTAGGTGTGACGTACCTGTTGAAATCGAGCAGTGATGCCTTCACTACTACGAGGAATTGTACACGTTTATTCATCTTATATAGTGTATGAACTGGTCTACCAGATAACGTCGTGCTCACCACTAAAAATGCCATAGGAATTCTGGGCTTTAAATCGTCCTTATTCATGGCACCTTTACGATCAAAGTATGCTAACCCAGTCAGATCAAAAGTCATAAGTGAAGACGTTCGAATATATATGTCGGGGGTTATCGAGTCCAAGCTGACTAACGTAGTTGAAAATGCGTAGCATGGAGTACCTGTAGAAATATGGTCTTCTTTGTTATTATTATTATTATAGACTTAATTCTAAAAGTACAGATTTGTCATTATGTGACTGCCTAATCTATAAGATCTTATGTAGAAGGCACACCACTGTCTACACTGATTCATCGTACCGTAACGATTTACAATATGACGTATGGAGTTCCTAAAGGATACATTTAGGCTAAAGATTGAATAATATATTTAGTGTTAGTGAAGACAAGTTATACAGAATAACCACGCCTGCAAGGCCGGGCCACGCCATCTCATTAAATTCAACCACCTCTTCACACCTACAATGCTGACTTTCTCTTCGTGTCGATTGTTGAATTTAAATATTAGCACTAATTACGTGCTTGGCTTCAAAGTTCGTGTGGTTAGAGTTTAGTGCCACTACATACCCATTTATAATCTGAGGTAGATTAGTGACCGGGCACCTTAACCTAGGTGAGTCCAGTAAAACTGATGCGGTCAACTTCAATGTCGAAGGTCTACAGAACGGTTTTTTCAACTTATCCAACGTTATATACTTTTCATCAGTATAACTGGAGTTAAATCTAGTAAAACGCAAACTATATGACTGGTGTTCTATTTCTAAATATTATGGCAGGAAACAAGAGTTCAGTCTTCGTTGATGAACTCCAAAATGCGAATAATCAATACTGGTCATAAACTAATCATTGTCATCTGAAGTCAGGACAAGCTATTTCTGTGACTAGACTAAATAGTGTTAGCTTCGTAACCTTGAAATCTAAACATCTAGCTCAGCTGCTCTAATGTAGAGTAATACATATGTCAGATCAAGAGATTACGTGAAATTACGTGCTAAATTAATCAATTTTATAGCCGAAAAGTTGATATATTGATAACCTCACACGTACTGTCACGCAAGATAATCTTTTCTAGTTATTCGGGATTTTAGCCTTATAGATATTAATTTTATCAAGGACTTCGGTGATATACCGACTCAAAAGCGTATGTAGCTATGATGATTAAGAATATTTGAATTATAGTGCAAACTAGGAATCCCAGAAATAACTCAGTTGGATCGATAAGTACTAGGTAAGCGCGAAGGAATGTACTGTATTTGGAATTCAAAATCAAGCGTTCAGCAAGTAAAAAGAAATCGTTAGTTCATACAAACACCATGAAAACGTTCTGTTGTTAGCTAGTCGAATACATTAAACATTGAACAGAAACTGCAGCTACTGTCCAGGAAAATGAACAATAAACTTCCCCTCATAGTGCTTTCCTATCCTAAAAAACACCTGTCACCTCTAGTTTTGTATAGCTTGTTTGAAACTGAATGGATTAAGATTATTAAGTAAAACTTCCTATAGATAGTCTTCGAATCGTTTGACTGCTTTTTTGTTGTTTTTTCCTCTGTTTATCCTGGTGTCACATGTGAATACCTTCGTTTTTGACATCTGCAAAGCACCATGACCCATCAACTGATAATTTTTCTGAAGATCAATAAACTAAAAATGACTATTGGTGAATTTTCAAGCGCAGTGAAGTTCCAAAGTGATATGCTCAATACATATTCTTACAATAACAATACATTATTGGCAAAGCACTTACATCCCATGCCATGACATAACGAAGAAACTCTCTGGAAATCATCGTAAACCAGAACGACCAGTCAAAATCAAGGAAGGCAAGGTAATCACAAAAATTGAAGAACAATGAAACAGGTGGGTGGAGCACTTCAAATAACTCTTGAAACGACTAGCCCAACTGAACCC